TCCATCTCTAGTATATATTACGTTATAATTATACTTGTAGAGTCGCAAGTTTGCCTCTCTTTCATCCACTTTTGTCTCTATGCAACGTTATCTTCACTGTCACAGTGCAGTAAAGACAAAAATAGTCTAAAAAGAGACAACTAAACAAACAATTTTACATCAGATATGGTCTCAGTGAAAGTAACCGTTATTTAACATAAATTAATGAAAAAATATCCATATCTGTTCAGTTATAGCAAGTGGCCTCTTCACTGAATGTGTCATCCTCAGCAGCCTTGTAAAATTGGTCAATGGCAACCTTTAACTAACACATATAGCTTTATAGATCCAACATATACTGTACAGTGGGGTGATTCAATCCAGTGGTTGCCAACTTTATGGGAACTACATGCCAATAAAACTGCAAGTAGTTCATTTAATTATGCATGTTTAAAGAAAACATATATACTGACAGATATTAAGCTAGGAAAGCTTTTGTGGTGTTTTTACAGTGTTTTCTGGTGGCTTTAGGTTTCCCTGGTGGTAAACGTAGCTAGTGAATGTGGCTTCACTGAGGAACACTACAATCAACTGCAGCAGCTCCAGCGGGACTTTGGTCCATATCACTTCAATGTGCTAGCCTTCCCCTGTAACCAATTTGGACAGCAGGAGCCTGGCAGTGACAAGGAGATTGACAGCTTTGTGCGCAGAGTCTACGGAGTCTCCTTTCCTCTGTTCAGCAAAATTGCTGTTGTTGGCACTGGAGCCAACAATGTCTACAAGTACCTTCTTGGTGAGTAACTGCCTCTCTCGGGGGGTGGGGGGTGGGGTTACGAGAGAGCAGTCGTGTGCGGTGTAGAAAAAAGAGGGGAAAAATAGAAACCTTTGAAGCAAAACTTAAAACAAAAATGCTTTTTTAAAAGGTTACAAGCTTACACTAACCTGTTATTCAGACATCTATGTCATTTAATCTTTTACAGAGGCATCTGGAAAGGAGCCTGACTGGAATTTCTGGAAGTATCTAATTGACGTTAACGGCAAAGTGGTGGATGCATGGGGACCAAAAATCTCTGTCAAAGAAATTCGCCCTAAAATTGCTGAAATGGTGCGGCAAATAATCTTGAAGAAGAAAGAAGAGCTTTAACACATTTCGCTTCAAGACTCTACTGAATGTTAATACCACAGGGAAACTGTGGCAGGTTTGAGCAGAAAAAATGAGTCACTGCTTTGGTAACATTACACTAACGTAATGGCTTATTCATTTGTGTTAAGGAAGTAAAACGCTTTGTGGTAGGTCTTGTTTGTAGCTATAAATAATTTTTTAAAAAGGTGGCGCTACAGGAAATAGAAGATCAAATACACTGGGGATTAAGGCAATATGAGGTGTGATCAAGCAGCAACCCTCAGGCCAAAGAAAGGTTCCAAACATTCCTTAAAAGCTACACGAAGCTGGCTCCAAAATGCGTCAGTACTTTTGGCTCGCATGTCTAGAATTCCTTGCAGGATTAAAAAGCACACACTGGAACAAAAATTGTATTTGGCCTCTAATGATACCTAGGGGTGTGGCTGCTTTAATCGACACTTATGCTAATTTAAGTCTCACAACCTTCTCTCAGTGTTTGTGGTGTTGGAGTTTATCCAAATTGATCAGCTACAACTGTACTTCTTTACTTGATCGACTTAGTAAGATTCAAAGCTACCAAATGTGTTATGGAAATTTTCATCCTTCTGACACCTAAGTTTAAGTGTACTGTAACAGAAAACTTAATTTTTCTTGAATCTGTACTAAATTTTCCACAATTTCATTGTAATTTCTTTCCTCTACTTACATTTTATTGTTCTTATTGTCATTCTTCCCATGTTTTGCTCTGGTTATATTTAGAGTTCCTTCAGTTGTCCAAGCCAGTAGTGTTAAATAGTACATGGTCTCTTCTTTTCTGTTCAGCAAATGATTTAATGGGCATATGAATAATTGATCAGTAGTTACAAGACAAATGTCTATATTATTAATTAAATGTTAAGCAAAAATGAACGAAAATATTTTTGACAGTTCATTTAAAATGTTTGGACCCCAGATTGATTGGATGGCGGAAGTAGTGGACCTCCAGCTATTTTAATAGGGGACCTCTGAGATAGTCTATATAATTATTAAATTGAAACAATTATTTGGGTTTAACATAAGGAAATGTTAGTTAGTGACCGATTAGCCTGGTGACCTTTCCGCGTTTCTCATAATAAACCATTTCAGTGCCTCATCTTCAGCTGCAGGTCTAAACATCCTTCAGTTCAGTTCAATGCAGTTAGAGCAGTAGAGCTAATGTCTGAACTACAGAACTGACTTTAATCAGCATTCAAGCTCATAGTGAGTTCTGTAGTCAAAAATCATTTATTTGTACCGATTAGCTAATGAACATGGCTTTCCCCAACACATGGTCTGAGCACTGACAGGCTGACCCTTCACACCTCCAACCTCTGCAGCAATGCTGGCAGCAATCATACATCTATTTTCAAAAGACAACCTCTATGATGCGGAGCACGTGCACTCAACTTCTTTGGTCAACCATGGCGAGGTTATGTTAGGTTCTGACTGGAACCTGTGCTCTTAAACTGCTGTATGGTCTTGACCACCATGCTGCAGCTCATTTTCATGGTGTTGGCAATTTTCTTATAGCTTAGGCTATCTTTATGTACAATAACAATTCTTTTTATCAGATCCTCAGAGAATACTTTCCTATGATGTGGCATGATAAACTTCCAGTGACCAGTATGAGAGCGTGTGAGAGCAATAACATCAAATTCAACACACCTGTTCTTTATTTGTACCTGAGACCTTGTAAAACTAATGTGTCACATGACTCCTGGAAGGGAAATGACAAACTGGGCACAATTTGGACATTTTACTTTAGGGGTATACTCACTTTGCTTGTATATATATTGAAGCAGATTTTAATCAGGTTTGTACAGTTATGTTGAGTCAGTTCTTAATTGCACTGGAACACGTGACAATGATTAAAAGCTACACTTTAGCTATTAGCAGTGGCTCAAGGTCAAAGTAGCCATTCATTTTACCTGAATTCTCAAATCTCTCTCTTCCTAATTATGTCCCTATTTCAGTCATTTTACTTTACTTGTTGGCGTAGGTATTATGGGCACCTGAGATGAAATTCCCCCTGTTTGAAAAACTGAAATAAATGCAAGTATTTGATGTTTAAATTTATAGGTGCCAATGTTTTGTATCTGAAGCGGCACAAGTATTACCTGTTTTATATAAACATGTAAAAAATAATCTTATTTTTTTAATACTATACCATTAGGCTGAATGTATGTTTGTTTGTTTAGAAATAAATATGCTAAATGATGTCCCTGTGTGGTGAGAAGGAAATGGCTTTAAGACTAAAGCATAGATTTTGATGTTACAGACCTGATCTGATATTTCCCCATTAAAATGTAGTTATCAATCTCCACTTTGCTTTTAGTGTTACTGTGAAGGCTCTGCAGTATTGGTGAGTGTTCAAACTGTATGTACTTTAGTTAAATGGTAAATTAGTTAAACCACTACTAAAGTACATTTGCTTGACTTGATGTACTTACCTACGTTAACTGTAATGACTATTGACAGGATACATTGTTTTAACAAAGTAAATGATGAGACTATTTCGGATTTTTCAAGTGCTTATCTGAGTCAACACAGTGAGGAGTGCCAGAGGAAACAGAATACCCAACCACAACCAAGAGGATACATTCCCAACCCACGGAGCTAGATACTACAGATTACACCCATAATTTAGGAGTGGAGTGGATGGAATGGCACACGTGCAGTTCTGACTAAAACCTCATTGTGCACTTGTGGAATCAGCGTGAGTGTTGTTTGTGTCACAGTGACCAGCACAATCACTTTCAATGACTTGTGACAAATGCTGGTTGAAAAATGGGATACCAACCCACACCAGTGTGTGACCAAGCTGGTAACCAGCATGAGGAGGAGATGCCATGCTGTTGTGACTGATACACAGGAAAGGTAACTCCATTATCAACTTCGGTCTTTTAAACATCCGCTCCCTCACTGGTAAGGGACATCTCATCCAGGATCTCCGATCGTAAGTTGGACTTTCTTTGCCTGACTGAAACGTGGCAACAGCCCAATGATTTTGATTTTGATTGAGTTTGTTTATACCTGTCAACCTCGCAACTCGGGGAGGGGCAGGGGTCTCGCGATAATTCACCGGAAGCACTGGAAAGTTCTCCCTGTCTCTGCCCCTCCCTCCCATTCATTTGAAAACATTGCATTACAGCTCCCTGGATCTATCCCCACCAGTATATGTATATCGGCCACCTAAGCCAAATAAGGAGTTTTTAAATGAATTTTCTGCTCTACTCACTCATTTCTCTATACTTTCTCCAAATCTGATAATTGTTGGTGACTTCAATATTCATATGGACAGTGACAAAATCCCTATTTCCAGAGATTTTACCTCCTGCCTGGAAAGTTTTGGGCTTCTACAGTACATTTACCATACCGTTTACCATACCATATATCAGTAAGACAAGGTACAACCTCTCTCATGACCTTAGGACATGGTATGCCAGATGGAGTGTTCGCCCAGGGCGCCAAACAGGCTAAGACCGCCACTGAATACAGGGGTAGAAAACACAAGTGGAATCTAATAAACAAATGAACTTAGCTAACCTAATGAACTTAAACATAAACATTTACATCCAAATAAACTAAGACTTAAAACGCTGGGTCAACAGACCCAGGAAAAGTAACATAATTCTTAATAGATATATCAGTTTCTTCTTTATTGTATTATTGGGGCATATGCTCAATATATAACGTAACCATAGCGTTGTTTCACACCATGTGTTTAATTACAAATGGTGTGATACTAACACATAACATCATTATAAAATAAGATGTAATGCTGTAGATCAACTTTAAAACTTTAAAATATATAAAACATATAAAATCTACAGCAATAATACTGTTACGGTTTGGAGGAGGACTCAAGCGCAGGACTCCGGTTCTGATGCTCACAAGAA